TCCTTCAGCTTCTATCTGAAAGGGTTGTACTCTAGGCCTAGTTCACAACCATCATTTAGGGCCTTGCCTTTACTCTTCTCCTTTCTTGGACACGCTCTTTTCTGGATACCGTATCATCTCATTTCATGACTTACTGCATTGTTTTGGTAGAACACATACACCAGTAGCTTTCTCAGAAAGGTACAAGGAGCTACATTTCTTTTGAATCTTTAACATGTAAAAATATCTTTGCTGGGTGCAGTGGTGCATGCTTGTAATTCCAGCTACTTGGAAGGCTGAGGTGGGAGGATTGCTTGAGGCCAGGAGTTCAAGACCAGCCTGGGAAACATGGCAAGACCTTGTCTCTTCTCTTGAAAGAACAACAACAAATAACAAAAAAATTTAAGGCATGCTTAGATTTCCTTGATAATTTTACTACATACAGAATTAAAAATGGAAACTGCTGTCCTTGAAATTTTGAAGATACTGCTCTGTTGTCTTCTAACATACTTTGTGTTTGATTTAATTTTTTCTTGTTCTCTCTGGAACATTTTAGAATCTTAAGAAGATTTAAAAGTGTCACAACTTCTGTCATGTATCTCCGTGTAGATCCTTTTAAAATTATTTATGCTGGGCATTTTGCTTTCTCCATTTAGTCTGGAAACCGTCGTCCATCAGTCTGAGATATTTCCTAAGTTAAAAAAAAATTATTTAAAAAAAAACTTCTTATTATTTATTAGGGCTTTAGGAAGATTCTCTACTTTCCTACCTTTAAAATTTTCCATCTAGTTACGTTTTGCTTTACTTTCTATGAGATCTCTTCAAATTAATCTTTAACAATAGAAATACAACTTTCAATTATCCATATTGTCAGTTTTGGGGAACTGTTGACCTTTCTTCATAGCATCTCTTCTTGTATTGTGGAAGAGATTCTTATTCTCTCGGGGAATAGTCTAGATTTTAAAACATTTTCTTCTGCTCCCTAGAATGTCTGCATTTTTTTTTTTTTTTTGAGACAGAATCTTACTCTGTCACCCAGGCTGGAGTGCAGTGGCGTGATCTTGGATCATTGCAACCTCCGCCTCCTATGTTCAAGCAATCCTCCCACCTCCCCTCCCAAGCAGCTAGAATTACAGGCACGCACCACCATGCCTGGCTAATTTTTGTTTGTTTGTTTGTTTTTTGAGACAGAGTCTCGCTCTGTCACTCAGGCTGGAGTGCAATGGCGCGATCTTGGCTCACTGTGGCCTCCGCCTCCTGGGTTCAAGCAGTTCTCCTGCCTCCACCTCTCGAGTAGCTGGGACTACAAGTGTGTGCCACCATGCCCGGCTAATTTGTTGTATTTTTAGCAGAGATGGGGTTTCGCCGTGTTAGCCAGGATAGTCTCCATCTCCTGACCTTGTGATCTGCCGGCCTCAGCCTCCCAAAGTGCTGGGATTACAGCCGTAAGCCACCACACCTGGCCTAATTTTTGTATTTTTAGTATAGAGACAGGGTTTTACCATGTTGGCCAGGCTTGTCTCGAACTCCTGACCTCAAGTGATCTGCCCACCTCAGCCTCCCAAAGTGCTGGAATTACAGGTGTGAGCCACCACACCTGGCCATCTACGTGTTTTTAGAAGGCTTTCTTTCCTTCTCTTTGTTTTGGATCTGACTTTCATTTTGCAGGCTTTCCTTGAATGTTTATTGATCTTTGGCAGATCCAAGGTACTTAAAATCAGGTTGGAATTTTTGTGCCTGTGGATGTGTCAATTGCTGATTTTTCTTTAAAATGATGAAGCAACAACTGGTCTTTTTTGTCAAAGGAAGCCCTCAAATATCAGTATATGTGCTCGTTGAGATGGTCCTGAGAATAATTCCACCAGCCTTGCCTGGGACAAACCTGGATAAGCTATTCTGGAAGCAGGATGAAAGAAGGGGACTGTGGGGGTTCCCTGGTACAGTAAGTAGACTGATTCTTCCTCAGTTCCCAACACCTCGTGCCTCATTTTCAGCCCTGAATTACACACACCCTCTTTGTCATTGTGCCTGGAGTATGTGAGTTTCTAATTTTCCTGGTTCAATGTCCTTGGGTAATAAACTTTTTTGGGGTTTGGGTAGGTGGGAGAGGGTTCCTGGGTGCAAAGGTCTAGCCTCTTCGTATAGTGACTTGCACCCTCTGTTTCCCACACCCTTCTCCCTCCCATTCAGTGTGAGCCTCCTGGGCTTTGGACTATTTTGTTGGAATTCTCTGAGGATCACTTATGATACAAATCATCACAGACCTCTCTCTTGCTTTCCATCACCCACAAGTCAGTAGAATGTTGTATCTGATCTTGTTCCTGCTGCTATAGTCCTCTTAAAGTATAGTTACTGTCATTTTTATAGGATTTTTGGTGTTGATGCAGGCATGTGGTTAATCTGCCATGTTCAACTGGAAGTCCATTTATTTTATCAAGGTATAAAATAAGATGATTTAAAAATTCACTGTAATAGCAGTAATCATACCAGAGCTGCATTGTTAAAAATTATGCAAAATTGTTATTTTCTAAGGGTGCAGATTCAGTCAGATATTCACAGATTAGTCTAATTTATATGACTTGTTTAAAATCCCCCTCCCCATCAATGAGGTAGCCTCTGAACTCGTCTGAGAGTGTGAATGACATTTTTGAATTGACCATTCAGACTTGTGCCCCTGCATGTATCTGCGCATGCGCTGGGTCACATTTCTCTATCTCATTTTCTTCCCTATCACACAGAAAATCACATTCAGCCTGATGTTTGGTTTTAAGTCTAACTGCAGATGTTGTGGCGCTCTGGGGGTGTCTTCCAGCCTCACATCAGTGCAGCAGTTCTCTTCTGGATGGTAACAAAGAGAAGATGTCACCGGCAATGCAGGGCCATGGAAATCGGCTGTTCTTTTTCTGTGCTCTGCTGTTTGTTGGGCGGGGTGGGAAAAAGGATGAGAATTCTAGTTCTGATTAGCCGTGAATGAGACTTTTCTCCGTGGGAGTCCTGCAGACACCAGGGTGTGGTGACTGAATTCATTTCTGCTGCTTAGGGAGGTCTTGGTGGCTGTCGGCACAGAGTGCTTGGAAGGCAGGAGAAACTGGCAGGACCAGCAAGCCTCTGAAAATAGGGCGTCATGGGGGTTGGCACGGCGACCGGGACTGGTCTCCGGCAGTGCCACTGAGCAGTTATGTGACCAGCTAGGTTTCTGGTCTACTTGACCCCCTTGGAATTTCCCCATGACCTCATCTCCCCAGGGGTTGTAGCCAAAAGAATGAAAATCACAGAGCTGCCTCTAGCATAGCACCCTTAAAATGCTCAGCTATGAAGCGAACAGTTCCTTAACAGACAGGAGCAGAGAAAAGTTACCTGTTAGCCCTTAACCTGCCCGCTTCCTGGTTTCTTTTAGACCTTGGGCAAGTGTTATAGTTTCCATATTTATTTTTTGGAAGTGAAGAAGCTGGGGAGAGAAGGAAGTGAGTTAATAACCAGCTTTTCCAGAGTGCTGACTTCTGCATTTCTTAGTACAGGATTTTGCTAGGCCCTTGACATTCGTTTAAAGGAAAAAAGAATTCTTTCGCCTTGAACATCTGTGCAAATCAGTGGGAGTGGGAGTCTAGAGCCCGTGGAGAGTGTGAGATAACTTAGCACATTTCTGAAAGCTAGGATGAGAGACAGCAGATCCATGTTATTGTACTGCAATGGCAACAGCCCAATAGCAAAGGCAGACCATTGAAATGTGCCAAAAAGATGCATTTGTAGTGCGGTATAATCACATTTTGAAAAATGTACAGTAGATAAGTGGGGAAATACGCGTTCTGGTTGCTTCATAAATAAAAGTAGTTAAGGATGTCTATCATTCTCATGTTTTTTAGTTCCAGCATTGGATATGTACTTACAAAAAGGCAAACCTAATTCACTGAATCAGTTTGGCATAGAGCTCTTTTCAAATTCAGCATCATTTCAGTGCATTTCAGCTTTATACATAGCTCTCAGCCAGGAAATCTCAGGTTTAATTAGGTCATTTGTTCTTGAGAGTTCTGTCCTTGCAAAACAGGAGAGGAATTTTTATGGGCAGTTGGCACACAGAAAAAGTAAACAACAAAATGTTCCTGTTTTCTTCAATTTTAGGTGGTACTTATGAAAACTCCTTAGAAGGAATTTTGTATATTTCAGGATATTAATCAATCTGGGTAAAATGTCTTCAGGCTTTGATTTTCATGTACTCTAGGTTTTTGCCTCTGCCTGGAGTCTTTGCAATCCTAGGGGGTTTGTGACCTTGGAATGCAGGCCTGTGAAGCATTTTCAGGATTTCAGAAGGGCCTAACCAGAAACTCGCAGTCATGGGGAGAGGGACTGGAGCTGCCTCCGTAAGTCCAGCAAATTAATGAAAACATCAAAGCATTGTTTGGTTTTGCCAGATTTTTCTCACGTTGCTCATGTTGATTTAGAAGGACTTACTGACCATTAGGTGTGCCTTCAGTGAACAGAAAAAAGGTCAAGTCAGTTGTTGCTTAACTGCAGCCTGGCTGATGTGTTCTTTTGACAGGAAGGATAGGGGTTGGGGTGTGATGTGGTAGGACCGATCCAGACAGGATAAAGTGCCGGTAACCACGGTGCTAACTTTGAAAGCCAGCTGGCCCCACACTGCTCTTCACTTCCCCAGCAGTGTGCTGTGTAAGGTGGTGTGGTGCTGATGGGAGATTGTCCTCATCCCTGTTCTCTGCTATTTCAGCAAAAGTCTGTGAGGGGTCGCTCCAGCGTTGTGACCTTGGAGTGTGGTGATGGGAAGGACACAGCTCCCAGGGAACGTGTGCACTCCCTGCGGTCCTGCTTGCTTCTTTCCTTCCAGCTCCAGAATGTTTATTTCATACGTTAATATGAAAAATACACAGAGAAAAGACTGGAAGGAAATCGGCCAAAATGCTAGCAGCTTTTGTTTACTCTGTTAGTAAACCAAACTGCCAAATTCAGCAATGCTTACCAATGATCGCCTTTCTGCTTAATTTTGCAAATGATCGATCATGAAATGGAATAAGAACTATATATCTTAGTGCATATTTGGAATGTTTTCAAAAGGTTGGTGACTTGGAGCACTTATTGACAAGGTTCACGAGTGTAGCTGAGTCCATCGTCTATGAGGGGGTCTAAAACACACATGAAGCATTGTAAAGAAACTCAAGTGAGCCTTGCGAGGAAAATGCTGGAGCCAGAGCTTAGAGTTTCTGCTTCGGAGTGCCTGAAAGTTTCATATTTCTTCTTTTATGCAGGTTCCAAATGTTTTTGGAAGGCTTGAAAGTGAATAAAATAGCCCTTTGACAGAACTGACAAAAACGGAGGGACTTAGGGGGAGGGCCCAGTAAGTCATTGTACACAAGCTTTGTGTTGTTAGCTTTGGCAAGGACAATTCTTAGAGAAAGCTCTATGTGAAATGCCAGAATTAATGGCTCACTTTTATGGGGCACTTGAACTGTCTGCCTTGTCGACTATCAAGCTGCCATTTTCCCTGCTCGAATTATAATAATCAATATGTTTACAGCACATACTATATGTCAGGCACTGTTCTAAATATGTTAGTTTTTGCTTCAAAACAACCCTGTGAGATAGATACTACTACGTATGAGGAAACTGAGGCACAGAGAAGTAAAGTAACATACCCAAGGTCATGCAGCTGTAAGTGGTAGAACCATGACTTGAATCCTATCTCGCTCCTGGATCTGTGCCCTCAACTACTGCTCTGCTTTTGCCTGGAACCTGGCCATGGCGGTGGGTGGGTGGATGGGTGTGGTTCAAGGTCAAAATCAAATGGAAAGTTTTGCTGAAGTTCGCTCTGCAGCAGGTGCTTGGATAGCCGACTGCTAGGTAGCTTGGTTTGACTGACTTTTCACTAACTTTTTATTGAGCTACCTGTTGGCCATTAAAAAACAGGAAGTATATGAGACATGGTTTCAGTCTTCAAGGAATTCACAGCCAAAGTTGAGATATGAGATAGGCTCTCATGAAAATTTACATAATCTGTGTCAGTTCCTTGTGAGGAACCCAGGGTGGATCTGTTGGTATTTGTCTTGGGAGAGGAATATGTTGCCATTTTAAGTGAGAGGATGTTAACATCAGCCAAACAACATCAACCAAACTTCAGCGTGGATATTCTTCTGTCAACTCCTCTCCTCCTTGGTTCTTAACTGATATACTTTATTTGCTCTTTTGCTAAATCTTGAACCCCATCCCCTCCACTCCCTCCCAGTCTTGGTTCCATCATTCCTTCCTTCTCTGGTATCTCTTAGCTTTTTTGAAAAAAAAAATTAAATTATAGTACAAAACATAAAAGGTACCTTTAACCATTTTAAGTGTTCACTCATATTAACTATATACATATTGATGTGTAACAGAGTTGTATAAAGTTTTCATCTAGCAAAACTCAAACTCTGTACCCATTAAAACGACAGCTCCCCACTCCCGCTCTTTCTAGCCCCTGGCAATCACCATTCGACTCTTTTTATGTGATTTTGACAACTCTAGTTACCTCAGTGAAAAATCATACAGTATATTTGTCTTTTTTGCACTTAGCACAGTGTCGTCTTCAAGGTTCATTCAAGTTGTAGCATGTGATCCTTAAAAGGATCCGTTTAAATCTTTAAAAGGATTTCCTTCCTGTTAAGGCTTAATAGCATTCCATTGTGTGTATGTATCACATTTTGTTTGTCCATTCATCCATCCATGGACACTTGGGTTGTTTACACCTCTTGGCTTTTGCAAATAATACTGCAGTGAACATGGGAGTGCAAATACCTCTGAGATCCGGATTTCAATTCTTTTAGTTACATACTCAGGCGTGGGATTGCAGGAAGACTGTCATCTCTCTCATCTTATTCAACAGGCTGCTTCTCCCCAGTGTCCAAACAGACTTGAGTCTTTCTCATCTCTTTTTGTTGTTCTTTTAAAAGAACACCACAATTTATTTTTAAATGTGAGAATTATGGGAAACCTAAGCCATGGGAATTGGACCCTCACCTGGGTCTTCTGTGAAATGGGAATTGCTCCCACCTTCCGCAACCCGAAGCTTTTGCAGTTTTGCCATCAGTTCTTTGGCGGGGTTAAAGATGCCACCGGTTGACTGGTCACAGATGTAGCAGCGCGGGGTGGCCCGGAAATGCTCCAGCGCGCAGCTTTCGCAGAAGTAATGCCTGCACTTGGTGACGACTGGGTTTTGGAAGGCCTGGCGACATATAAAACACCTGAATGGTATTTCCTCTTCCTCGCTTTCTACTTCATGGTTTTCATCCTGGCAGATACCGTAGCGACCCTCTTCAAGCTCCCGTTCAATCTCCCACCCGTGTTTGTAATCGGAACGGTCGTGGAGGAATTTGCAGCTGTCCCCGAAGCCGCAGAAACCGGTCTCCTTGTAGTCCTTGCAGATGTCGGGCTGGTAATCCCAGCGCACAGTGGCGCGCAGGTGCCCGGGCGCACGGATGGGGCCCTTCCTCGCCATCCCCGAGAAGGAGTTGCCCATGGACGTGTCCCTGGGCTTCAGGTACCTCGGGTAGCTGTTGATTCCCCGGTAGATCTGGTCGTGCTCCCGGCCCCACAATGCCTCCTGGACCCGCTGGCTGCGTTTGAAGATGGTCTGCGTATGGTGCTCCTTCTCGGTGTCCCGCTCGAAGTCAGCGGTGGCCCCCATGTCCTCCGGCCCCACAGGCTTCGCCGAGCGGGTGGACCTGTACACTATGCCGAGGCTCTCAGGCGCTGCCTCCTCGCCCCTCCGGTCGCCGTGAGCCGCCGCCTTCTGACAGCTGTGGAGGCCCCGGGGCCTCGGTGCCACCCGCGGGGGCCGAGCCACTGCGTCGCCGTCGTCCCCGCTGCCGCTGCTATCTCCATGCTCGGAGTCGCAGGCCGGGCGCTTTCTGAGGCCTGCAGCCCCTTTCCGCCCAGGCTTTTTGAAGAGGAAGGTGCATACCTGGTCTGCCTGGTCGGCCGTCCTTCCTGGAGAAGGTGGTGCTGCCATGTTTGAGTCTCAGGCTCCAAACGGCCGTGGCGTGCGTCGCCCTTGCGTCGCCCTTGCGTCACCCTTGTGTCACTGCACGTGGGGCGTGGGCCCTCCCAGTCCTGAAAAGCAAAAGCAAGTAAAAGAAAAGCTTCTCCTAGGCCAGTCGCGGTGGCTCACGCCTGTAATCCCAGCACTTTAGGAGGCTGAGGTGGGAGAGTCACCCGAGGTCAGCAGTTCAAGACCAGCCTGGCCAACGTGGCGTCCTTACTAAAAATATAAAAATTACCTGGGTGTGGTGGTGGGCACCTGAAGTCCCAGCTACTTGGGAGGCTGAGGCAGGAGAATCACTTGAACCCAGGAGGCAGAGGTTACAGTGAGCCAGGACCACGCCACTGTACTCCAGCCTAGCCTAGGTGACAGAGCGAGACCCAGTCTCAAAAAAAAAAAAAAAAAAAAAAAAAAAGCCTGCATCTGCCCTCTTTCCCTCCCTTGATCTGTCTCCTGGCCCTCAGATGGATTCCTTGAGAGAGTCATCTTCACTTGCTCCTCAGCTCCCTCGGTGCACACTCATTTCTCGACAGATTCCTGAAAGGCCACGGGTGGAATCAATCCAGACCATAGCGAACCCGTGGTGCTCATCCTAAAACACAGGCGCTTGAAATGTGCATTTAAAAGCAACATGCGCAGTGCAGAAAACAAAAACAAAAAGATACAAGCAAAAAGTAAGACGCCTATAATGCCTCCCCTCAAAGATAACCACGTCAACACTTTCGTGTGTCTTCTTTTCATCTAGCCTTTATTAAAAGACTGTCATATCACGCTGCACTTGTGGTTGCGTAGCCGGCTTCATTTTGAAATAAAAGTAACACATGTAAACATTTAAAAAAATATCATCAAGCACTTATTGTACTGGAAATCGGCTGTCCCCTGCCTGGCCCCTCCACACACCAATTCCTCGTACCTAAGATAATCATTTTCAATTTTTTTTTTTTTTTTGAGAAAGTCTCGCTCTGTGGCCCAGGCTGGAATGCAGTTACACGATCTCGGCTCAGTGCAACCTCTGCCTTCCAGGTTCAAGCAGTTCTCCTGCCTCAGCCTGCTGAGTAGCTGGGATTACAGGCGTGTGCCACCACACCCAGCTAACTTTTCTGTTTTTAGTAGCGACAGGGTTTCACCATGTTGACCAGGCTGGTCTGGAACTCCTGATCTCAGGTGATCCGTCCACCTCAGCCTCCCAAATTGTTGGTATCACAGGCGTGAGTCACCGCAGCCGGCCTTCAAATATTTTCAACCCTTTTTTTCTTGAGTTTATCTTCAAGTTGTGAAATAATTCATTTATATAATGTAAATGGATTCCAGTTCTTATTTAGTCAGTGCATGCCATAAAGTGTTTCATGCAATTTCTTTTTCTAATTTAGGTTCTATCTCTTTACTTACTAGAATGGAAGATGAGATTCAGCTCCCTTGTAGTGCCCCCAAAACACTGGCTACTGTGGGTTGAGAGAGAAGTTGTGTGGGTCTCCCTTCCTAGACACCAAGGCATCCTCAGTTGGAGGAAATGTGATGAATAAGCTTACAGTGTAAAGAATAATTCGTCATTTGTCAGTTTCCTCTTGGGATAGTAATTCTAGATTTTTCTTCAACTGTTAGATCCCATCTTTCATGTTGGAAGCTTGTCTAAAATACTTGGTTATCTCCAGCTGTTTATACTTAAGAGTGAGGTGCCTAAAAGCTGGCTGGAATGCACTGGTATTGTCAGACTTATACACCGGACTGTCCTTTGTGTGATTCAGTTGGAAACCGTCTTTTTTCTTGGGGACCCCTAGATGTTGGTGTCCGTATTAGTCTGTTTTCACGCTGCTGATAAAGACACACCTGAGACTGGGCAGTTTACAAAAGAAAGAGGTTTAATGGACTTACATTTCCATGTGACAGGGGAGGCCTCATAATCCATGGCGGAAGGTGAAAAGCACGTCTCCCATGGGGGCAGGCAAGACAAGAGAATGAGAACCAAGGGAAACAGGTTTCCCCTTATAAAACCTTCCAATCTCATGGGATTTATTCACTACCACGGGAACAGTATGGGGGAAACTGCCCCCATGATTCAATTATCTCTGATAATTGGGTCCCTCCCACAACACAAGGGAATTATGGGAGCTACCATTCAAGATGAGATTTGGGTGGGGACACAGCTAAACCATATCAGTGTCCATAGGTCTTTTCTGCTGGGTTCTGAGTTTCTACAGAGAAGACTTATCTCACATTCCACTGTGGGGTGTGATCTTTGCTGCCAGAATTCTATGATAAGAGCTGTAGAAGTGGGCTGGGAAGGGAAGGCCTTATAATTTGGGGTACAAACTTTGACTTAATCCCTCATTTTCAGTACAGCATCTGATTCCCACCTTTGGTTGTTCCCGGGCCCTTTAAGCATAGGTCCTCTCGGATTCAGCCTCCACAGAAGAGATATCTCCTGCTTCTGCCAGGCTGGGGAAAGGGTAGGTGCCTGGCTGCCTGTGGTGGGAGATTGTGTTAGTTTTGCATTGCTATAAAGGAATGCCCGAGGCTAGGTAATTTATAAAGAAAAGAGGATTAATTGACTTATAGTTCTATAAGCTGTACAAGCAGCATGGCATTGGTATCTGCTTCTGGTTGATGGCCTCAGTAAGCTTCCAGTTGATCATAGTGGAAGGCAAAGAGGGAGCAGACTGTGTCACATGGCAAGAGTGGGAATGAGAGTGGGGAGGGGCCACACACTTCTAAACAACCAGATCGTGAACTCAGAACAAGATCTCACTTATCACCCAGGGAATGGTGCTAAAGCACTCATGTGGGATCCACCCCCATGATCCAGTCACCTCCCACTAGGCCCCACCTCCAACACTAATCACATTTCAGCATGAGATTTGGAGGGAGCAAACATCCAAACCATATCAGAAATTTTTCACATTCTCAGCCAGTCTTCTTGTGTGGAGCCATATCTGTTTCCAGTGGTATGTGATTCTTGCTGTTCCTGGGATTTGTCTTGAAATTGGCGTGCTGCTGCTTGTCATCTCCCTCTGCAGCCTTCAGTTTCAGCCTTCTTCCAAGTTAGTTGATATTTTTCAGTTCACTGTCTTTCTTCTAAAATATTGTTGATGTTCTTGTTTTCTCTGGTGTCTCTTTCTTCTGGCTCCTTTGGTGGGAATCTGCCTTTGTAAAGTAATGTTTATCATTTTAGTGGGATTTTGGGAGGGAATAGGGCTGAATGCCTGAGTGCAGTCCGCTGTGTTGAATGAGGAATGTTAGTGAGCTGTCTTCACTTGATAAGTATTTTCCCCTGTTCCTTAGTATTTCTCCATAATGTGCATTTTAATACCTGCATAATGATCAATTGTATGATTCTATCATGCATTATTGTCCTAATACTCTGTTGTTAGATTATGTGTTCCCTCATTTATATACCTTTCCCTGTCTTTACATTTGTTTTCTTAGGTTTGATTCCTACAGAATTAGAGTTTAAGCATTTTCAACTTTCTTTTTTTTTTTTTTTAAGACAGAATTTCGCTCTTACTGCTTTCTGAAAGAGTTGTATTGTATGTACATTCACCAGACATGCGTGAGTATGGCCATTTCATTGCAGATAGCACTTCTCCCTGCTGGTTTAGGACCACATGTACCTACTAAGTGAAGGAAAAAATTGGGATGAACCAAATGAACTTCAATAATTCTGTCAGCTCACATGTTATGAAGCTTGACTGTCTGAGGTCACATCCTGGCTCTGTGACCTAGAGCAAATGACTTAACTACCCTGGATTTCAGTTTTATCCCCTGTGAAGTGGGGAATAAAAGGAAAAATAATAAGTGAATAGACTTAGGTTTAGATTTTTGCCTGGCTGGCAGCAATGAAGAAGAGCAAAAGCAATAAAGTCAATTTCTTAGGTAGTAACGATAAGATTGTTCTTTATCATTAAAAAGTGACTTGTTTGGGAAGAAGTGATACATTTTTATTACAAAAAAAAAATACAAAAAAGTAAAAAGAAGAAATGAAAAACCTCACCCTAAATCTTACCGTTTAGAAATAATATTAATTAATTAATTAATTAATTTTTTTGAGAGAGAGTCTCACTGTCACCCAGGCTGGAGTGTAGTGGCGCAATCACAGCTCATTGTAACCTCAAACTCCTAGGCTCAAGCGATCCTCCTGCCTCAGCCTCCCAAAGTGCTGGGATTATAGGCATAAGCCACTGTGCCCGGCCAATGATGTTGGTAACATTTTGAGAGCCCTGTCTAGAACTTGCCATGGGCATGGGATCTTATCATACATGGTATTTAATACTTAAAGGTGTAAAATAAAAGACTTTAATTAAAGCAAAGGAAAAGAAACTAAAGCAAGATAGAAATGCTGACTTCATTGCAAGAGAGAGTAGCGCTATCTTTTAAAAACTAAATTTATGACAGAAGATGATAAATACTGAAATTAGAATAATTTCTCATAAACTGTGAGTTTATGAGACACTCTCCTTTGAAAGCTAGAAAAAAAAATTAGAACTGACCTATGCTGTCCCTCTTTCCCAAGCTCCAAAATTTTATCAGTTAATTATGAATTTTACAATGTGAAGGATTGTAACATTTCTATTCTAGTCTAATAATGCCACAATTCCCATAGGTCTTTGACTTAGTTCTCTTTTAGCATAGATTCAGAACTTATTGCTAGTCTTTTTACTGTGTTTTTACCATGCCTCAGTTTAAAATTTTGACTTGTTGGTTGGTTCATTGTTTTATTTATTTAATCGATTTTATTTTTTAAGACAGGATCTTGCTCTGTCACCCAGGCTGGAGTGCAGTGTTGCCATCATGGCTCACTGCTGCCTCACTCTCCTGGACTCAAGTGATCCTCCTATCTCAGCCTCCTGAATAGCTGGGACTTACAGGTGCATACCACCACACCTGGCTGATTTTTGTATTTTTTGTAGAGATGGAGTCTTCCCATATTGCCCAGGCTGGTCTCAAACTCCTGGGCTCTAGTGAGCTACTGGCCTTGGCCTTCGAAAGTGCTGGGATTACAAGGG